AAAAAGAAAGAGAGAGAGAGAATGTTAAGATATTATTTTTTGTTTCTTTATTATTGAACGAAATTAAAACGGCCTTCGATTTTAAACTATTTTTTTTTTTTTTAACACGTCAGATTTTTATTCTAATAATACAGATAATAAATGCATCTGACCTTTTTTTTACCTCTTTATTTATGTTTTCTTTTTTTAAACCATCGTTTATCTCGTGAATGTGTATAAAATGTAAATATAATTTAAATTACGATCAATTTTATTACGTATTGAAATATATCTAAGAGATGTATTAATTAATATTAATATATACAGAGTGTCCCAATTTTGTTCACTCTGTATAATAAATATAGATGAATATATCGATGTATACAGGAATGAATGAATACAATCATATATTTAATATTACTGCAATATCATTCGTATATAGATATATAAAAAAGAGATTAAAAAAAATATATATTTATGGACACATAGGAAAGTAATAGAAATTATTAATTGGATTTATGTAACACTTGTCATATTTATTTATCATATTTTCATTCTTTGAACGCATGCCGACCGCAATACTAACAACTGGAAGTCTGGACTTCCGTTCTTGTCTAGGGTAAGTTATACAGTAACTTTAATTACCATTTTAAGTTCGTCTCCCGCTAATAACTTTATTAAAAAACATAGTTTATTTAATGATAGCCTATATATATATATATATATATTTATATTATCTCTATGTAATCAATTTATAATCTAAGATGACTACTATGCATGGTAGTTATCGGGAAATGATTCAGTCATCATTTGGTGGTATTAATATTCCACAAATAAAACGACTGCATTTCTTACATTCCTTAATTTGTGTTAATTAAAAAACAATTTAACTATAATTTAGTTAATTAATTGTTTATTATATGATAGTATATGTTTAATTAGAAATATATAGATCCCCTGCCATTTGTTTCAAGTTCAAGTATTACTTTTTTTTTTTATGTTTATATATATTTTTTTTTTTTTGAATATAGAATAAAAAAGATATTTTTAATTTATTGTGAAAAATAAAAGGTAACTCGTGTACAATAATTTTGATACTTGTTCGATTAAATTTTCAAATTAATTTAATATATAATAAGTAAGTTTTTAAAAAATATTATATACACATGTAAATAGAAATCCTAGATTCTGTTTTTACTTGTAGCATTAAAACGCCTTTCAATGCTATAACAGTAGAGATTATTAGGAATACAATGGTAAGGAGTTTCCCCAATGACTTAATCTTCCCACGCAGTCTGTTCATTTATTATTCACGAAAATCATACTACAGAAAGAAGAAATACACAGACTCTTCACACACAGATATGTAGTCAACGTTAGAATATTATTATATCCATTTGGTATCCTATTCGAGATGTTTTACGTCAAAACTTTTCGCTTATTCATCTTTTTCTTTTTTTTTTTTCTTTCCTTTTTTTTCTCTTTTTTTTTCCCCGTTTCCTCCTTCAATGCCAATGTTGGGTAATATTTCATTCGTGTAATAATATATAATTTATTTATTAATTTAAATCGTTACATACAAAAAGATAATGTACCCATTTAATTGTAAATTAGGCGTATCTATGATAAAGTTTAATCAATGCAAAAATCAGTCTATGAGTTAGACGAAATTTTAAATCAATGATTTTTTTCGAATCTCACTCGATATACTTTTTTTTTTTTTTTAAATTACGTCTACGAAATAATTAATCAATGATTTTTTTCGTATATTCGTAAAATTGCACATTAAAATACAATAATTTATAATTTTTGTAAGTATCTACGATAAAGTTAGTCAATGATTTATGAGTTTACGAATAAGATGAAATTGTGAGTCAATGATTTTAAATTAATCGAATCAAATATTATCCAGCAGTAAAATCTCGCGATTAATTGTCCCTTTTTGATTTGTGGTATACCGAAAAAAAAAAAATTAAAATTAAATAACAGACGTATGACCAAATACATATTGATAAATAATTTCAGGTGGTACCTTGCGGTCTTCGAAAGATCTTTCACGTAAGAATAAGTTATTAGAATTATTTTGTCCTTTCGTTTATAGTTATATATATATTTATTAAAATAAATCAATAATTAATTAATTCATTTATAATTTCATCCATTAATTAATTATGATTTTTACGTATTCCTCGAACGAGATCCAAAAGAAACGCCAAGGTTCGAAATCCTTGAATAGAATTCAATGTATATTTTATAATTTTCAATAGATTTTGTTTTTTTTTCCTTATTTGTTATTATAGTTTTTGTCTTATGTCCATCATTATATTTCTATTTTAAAATACCGCGTTGTTTATTCTATCCGTACATCTTTAGCAATAATGACACAATTCTCGGTAGAATTAATCACTAATCAAGCAAAACTACCAATCTTTTATAACGGTGAATAAGTGTGTGAGTTTTTAATCATTGTTTACTTGTCTTACATAGTTCTTTTTATATTTATTTTTTTTCTTTTTCTCTTTTTTTTTTTGGCGTGCCGTATAAATTTGATTTCTTTAGTTATCAATCCGTAACTTTTGTCGTTTTATTACTGTGTTATTTTCAATGAATGAGAAATATTTCATATATAAACGTTTCCTCTAATTTTTTAAATTATTTTCAATGTTAAGAAGGATAATTGTTAAAATAATAATAATAATAATAAAAGATTTAAAATTGCAATAAAAACGTGTCTCTCCAGGTGACGTAAGAAGGTTCGACATTTTAGCGTACGCGTTTATCAAATTACACGTGACGAGATTATAAACACGCGGATTAGATATTTTAAATTGATTTTTTTTCCTTTTTTTTTTTTTTTAATTATATTTAATTTAATTTTATTTTATTTGACGTATTTACGTCAGGATCGACGACAAATTAGAAAAAAATTAATCATAAATTAGTTTATAATTTATCTTAGACGATCTTGACGTTATTTATGTATTGTCCACGAGCAATTTAAAATGAAAAAAAAAACAAAATTCTCCACACGTATCTCTCACATTAAAAAATGATTAAAATATCATATTGAAATAATTTAATAATACAATACAATAATTTATTTATTTATTTATTTATTTATTTATAAATAAATAAATACATTGGGTAGGACCAATGAAGTGTGATGTCGAATTCTTTTTTTGTAATAAAAAAAATACTGAACAAACGTTGATTAATAAAAATTCTGACGTTACTCGTAGAAACAAATTCAATAAATAAAAAAAAAAAATAAAAGATAAAAATTAAATATAGATTTTTTTTTTTTTTCAAGAAAAATATTTTATCCAAATTTTTTGTTTTGTTTTTGTTGTTACAAGCTTTTACACCAAAGCTTCAAATTTGATTTTATTTTTTCGCACCTGTATAGATACATTTATTTATTCGGAAAATTTTTTTATATTTTTTTTCCCTTTTATTAAGATTTCTCTTACGTAAACACAATTATCTCTACCGCACAATTATAATTATAAAAAAAAAAGAAGAAAAAAAAATAATAATAGAAGAAAAGAGAGAAAAAAAAATCGTGTCATCGGCATTGAACTGAGATCTGTGTTGCCAGTTGTACGATCAAGGCGATCATGTTAATATCGCTTCTTTTTCTCTCTCTTCCTCTCATGGATGAGACGACACTTTAAGAGTCTATGTTTTACCAAGGCAAACCATTAAAAATGTACTCGTGTCCTTTTTTTAAATTTTCTTTCTTCCTTTTTTAATCCAATAATGTCAAGAACACAATCGTCTATTATACATCGTTTTATCATCATCATAATCATCATATCATCATCATCATCATCCAAAATATTTCCAAATAAAAATGTTACCCCATCTACAAAAATATTGATACGTATCGCAAATTGATTAAAAAATAAATTTCTTCACAATTAATCAAGATATTTATTATTACGTTATATAAATACATTTAGTTTGTTATTCTTTTTCTTTTTCTTTCATCTTTTCCGATAATCGTTTCAAACACTCGTAACTACATTTTATTTTTAATAGCAAATTAATGTAGTTTCAGTGTATTTTTGTTATTTTTTCTCTTACCAAACCTTCCTCTCACCCACCACCCTCTTACAATGGTACATCCTTTACCTTTTAAAATAAAAATTCTATCGTCAAGTTTTCTTGTAGATATTTCTTGATAAGATTTAAAGAGGTATAAAACATAGATTATTTTTTAGAAATATATAGGAACTCTATAATAATAGTATTTGTTTCTTATCAATCATTCGAATATGATGGAGAGTTTACTCAATCCAAATATTATTCTATCCATGGATATACATTTGTGTTTTCCTTAGCCCCCAACCCCACCCACTCCTCTCTATCCTTTATCAATTAAAACATTATGTATTTATTTATGTATGTCTGATAATTTTTTTTCTTGCATGTCACCGCAACAAACAACAATCCAAAAATCAATCGTCATATTTTATCGTTTAATTTATAATTATAATAATGAATATTATATGCGTATAATAAATGCACAAGTTTGCACGTTTTTGCTGTATATTTAAAATGATAGATGAGTGAGTTTATCATTTAATTTGATTTTCTTTTTCTTCTACCTCTTTGTGTTTGATCAAATGTTGTCGCAAATAAAAATAACACACGTAGTTGATTTATATTGTCAAATATAGATGTAGGCTTCGTGAAAGAAAATTGGGCTGTTAGATTGACCGGACTCTAATCGTCGAGTAATCCAGTACCACCGGTCACAATTCTTCCACGAATGCTTATTTTTATTGATTGGAGGTGTTCCCACATATCTACAGGGTGTACCAAATAACTAATAGTTTACAAAGTCTTAATAAAAAATAAATAATCTATTTTGAAAAATTAATTCAATGATATAGAGTTTTCTTAGAAACTTTTGGACCATCCTGTAAATATGTATATACATATGTGTATGTATTTGAATATGATATTATTATGTTGGAACTTTATTTTCATTTATTGTTACCAATTAATTATTACAGGTGATGAACCAGGAGGTCAAAAAGGAGACCCCATTGCAGTTCAAGTTTCGCGCAAAATTTTATCCCGAAGATGTTGCAGAGGAAATCATACAGGATATTACGCTTCGTCTATTTTATCTTCAGGTGGGTGTGAAAAAGTAACCCATTATCATATTTAATTAAAGATTTTTATTGAATTTTTTAATTTCATTTTCCTTCCATAGATTGTTACAGAGCTTACTTGTTGAATACAATATGGGATTTTTTCTTCCTTTAAAAAAAAAAATAATAATCTTTGTACTGTTATATAAGATATGAGATCAAAAAAGATATTGCTATTTATTATAGAAATTAGAGAGTAAAGAAGAATACACAAACTGGTACTCTTTTGCAAGTTGTAATCTTTCTCCCTCCTTTTGTTTTATTTTATGCATGTAATGCACGACCTTGAATTAGAAAAATCTAATCTCTATGATTTATCAATAAAGATCGGTCGGCTATATTACATTGTTAATTAGACTGTTACATTAGATGAATAATTGCATATGAAGGAACATTTAGTTGTTCGAATGAAACATTAATTATTATCTATTCTATATCTGGTTTTCTTTGCTATGGTTTAAGAATCTTTAAATAATACGTTTCGACATATATACAAGTATTTTTCTTTTATATAAAAAAAAATTTCTCTTATTCCAGGTGAAAAACGCTATTCTATCAGATGAAATTTACTGCCCACCTGAAACATCCGTTTTACTAGCATCTTACGCGGTTCAAGCAAGACACGGTGATTTCCAAAAAGGAATGCATACTCCTGGATTTTTAGCTAATGATCGTTTATTACCCCAACGTGTTGTCGATCAACATAAAATGAGTAAAGAAGAATGGGAGAGTTCGATAACCAATTGGTGGCAAGAACACCGTGGTATGTTGAGAGAGGACGCTATGATGGAATACTTGAAGATTGCTCAGGTGATAAATGACAAAAATTTATATCATTATATCTCTATAGATTAATTCAATTATTTTCATTTATATTTGAAGATTTTGATCTTTTTATTTCCGTTTATTAATTAAATCTGTTCTTTTTCTGTTATCTAGGACTTAGAAATGTATGGAGTTAATTATTTCGAGATTCGTAATAAAAAAGGAACAGAATTGTGGTTGGGCGTTGATGCTTTAGGCTTGAATATTTACGAAAAGGACGATAAGCTTACTCCTAAAATTGGTTTCCCTTGGTCGGAGATAAGAAATATTTCTTTCAACGAAAAGAAATTTATTATTAAACCAATAGATAAGAAGGCACCAGACTTTGTCTTCTTTGCTACAAGAGTGAAAATTAATAAGAGAATTTTGGCACTTTGTATGGGCAATCATGAATTATATATGCGTAGACGTAAACCGGATACCATTGATGTTCAACAAATGAAGGTATTTAGAAATAATATACACGCATAAATACATGTATACACACATATTTAATAGAATTTTTGAAATATTATTTTTCATTTTGATAAAAATCTACCTATGATTATTTGATTAATTTGCTACTTTTGAGTGCCGTGATAATAGAATATCGAATGAGAGCATTATCTGTAGATAAATTTTATAAGTTAAGAATCATTCTACTGTGAGTTTTCAACGTACGTGGTAATATTTTTTCAAGGCTCAAGCCAGAGAGGAAAAAATCGCCAAGCAACAGCAAAGGGAGAAATTACAATTAGAAATAGCGGCGAGAGAACGCGCAGAAAAGAAACAACAGGAGTACGAAGAAAGGCTAAGAAATATGGCCGAGGAAATGGATAGGCGACAGGCTGAATTGAACGAAGCTCAAGAAATGATAAGACGTTTGGAAGAACAATTGAAACAGTTACAAGCTGCTAAGGAGGAATTGGAAGACCGCCAAAAGGTTTATTTCATTATAAATATTTGTTACAGTTATTATAATGAGTATAATGATTACGTATTTACGAATATATATTTTTAATTAAATAGGAATTGACGGCAATGATGGAGAAATTAGAACTTTCTCATGAAATGGAAGCAGCAGAACGCGCCAAGTTGGAACAAGAAATTAGAGCTAAGCAAGAGGAAGTACAACGCATACAATCTGAAGTAGAAGCAAAAGATGCTGAAGCTAGGAGATTGCAGGAAGAGTTTGAAGCTGCCAAGTACTCATTGTTTTTATTGATTTATTTAATTAATTATTTTTATTTATTATAATGTTCAAGGTATATATCGTTTATATAAACTAACAATGTTTTATTATTTCATCTTCGAGTAGACTTAGGCAAGAGGAAGCGGATCGTGCTTTCCAAGCTAATACGACTCCTCATCATCATCACGTAGAAGAAAATGAGGAAGGAGAGGAAGAAGGTGAAGATGAGGTTCCTCATGGTGATGTTACTAAAGATCTTGCTACGGACGAATCAATAATTGATCCAGTTGAAGAAAGACGTACTTTAGCTGAAAGAAATGAACGTCTCAACGATCAATTGAAGGTATTATTCGTGTATAATATAATTAATCAATTGTTATTACCTATTTTTTTAATTTTTAATATTATCATTATATTAGATCAGTAGATATAATTATTAGATATATTTTCTGTTGCTAGCTTAAAACTTTTTAGATTTTATTATTCAAAATATGTAAATGATTTAATTAGCGTTAAGAAGATAAATGAACGGTCTGGGATAGTTTATCCATTGTCGAAGCTGAATTGACAACGGACAAACTATCTTAGACCATTCATTTATCTTCTTAACGTTAATATTTAACCCACACGTAAATATCATTTAAATATTTATTTCTTATGTTCAATCGATATTTCTCTCTTTCTCCCTCATTACTAAAATAATGCGTTATTCTCAAAACCTTTTACTTTTTGTTTAATTTATAAATTTTTGTTGGTTCTCTTCCAATACAAATTTGACTTAAAAAATTATATATTGTACAAAATAATTGTAGAATTGTGTATTTATCGATTTGATTTATTGTTTTATAGGCATTGAAGCAAGATCTAGCACAATCACGAGACGAAACTAAGGAAACTGTCATGGATAAAATCCACAGGGAAAATGTTCGTCAAGGACGTGACAAATATAAAACGCTTCGTGAAATTCGTAAGGGAAATACCAAACGTCGTGTCGATCAATTTGAGAATATGTAAAATATGTGCATATATTTATCAGCACCCCCGGAAATGCATTTTTATTATCTCATTTTTTTGAATTTCATCCGTTCCGTATCTTATTATACGGAATAATATTATTATTGCACATGAAATACAGAGAGAGAGAGAGAGAGAGAGAGAGAGAGAAAAAGAAAGAGAGAAAGAGAGAGAGAAAGTGAAAGAAAGCGAAAGAAAGTGAAAGAGAGAGAAAGATAGATAAAGAGGATTCAATATCCTAGGTACATTATTAATATTATTATTATTATTATTATTAATATTATTATTATTATTATTATTATTATTATTATTATTATTATTAATATTATTATTATTATCACTTAGATTGATTATTATCGTCATTCCTTTGAAAAAAAAAAAATTTATTTTATTATAATCGATCTTAATTCTTTCTTTGTGCCACGTCAAACATTAATAATTGATCCCCCTTCTTTCTTTTTTATATCATAGCAATTTATATAATTCTATAGCATTGGGACACAACATATACACACACACACACACACACTCATTAATCATTCTCATCGTTAAAATATATTCAAATTTCCAGATAATTTGTTTCAAAAAAAGAAAACAAAAACTACATTAATTATGGCAACGAATCTAAAAACTCAAAAAATTTTGTAGTAAGGAAAAAAAAAGAAAGAAAGAAAAAGGAACGCGACGAACAATTTTATTATATTAGTACGATATCTTCCAAATATGCTTCCACGTATTATTAATTATGAGATTGAATTATCTTAAAGTCTTTAAGCGTTTTGAGATAGATCTATATCAATTTGTGATGTATTTTTTCTTTGACCGAGATTAGAGTTGTAATAATTATTACTATCTCAGATGGTATGTTTTTCTTTTTTCTTTTTTATATTCTCCTTTATTTTTTAAAGTAAATCTCAAAAAAAGAAAAGTAATAATACTTGCAACATTCATTAGAATAAATAGTATTTGGCAATAAAAAAAAAAACTAATTTACTCTCTCGTAGCAGTTATAGTTTAGCTATTTTTTTTTTTATCTTCCTTCTTGTGCTCGCGTTTTGCTATTATTCTTATTGTCGAGAATGTGCTAAGAATATCATTATTATTAAGTATTAATTAATATTAATTATTATTAATTGTTATTACTATTATTATTATGCTCTATGTTCCTTATTTTTTGTGTCATGGACAACAAAAATTTTGAACGTTTGTCTTCTTTTTTTTCTTCTCGTATAGTAGTACATATATATACATACATATTTTTTTTTCTTCTCTCGTCGTAAGTATTATTGTTGACCGGTAACAAGAATAGAAATGAAAATAAAAAAATGAAACAAAAATATAGAACAAAAAAAAACAAAAAATAAACCGCTCGCAAAATGGTGCAGATAATATAATTTTTCTTTCGATGATTACTTACACTAGCACGTTATAATTTTATTCTTTTTCAATTTTCATCGTGAATAGATGCATTAATACAGGATGAGCTTAAAAAAAGTTTTTATTCAAGCCAAAAATTTCTTAAGTTGTTTTGTCAATCAATTATACATCTTTTTCTAGATTTTTTTTTTTCAAATTAATTTGTTTTTAATTAAACTTAGCAAGTTTAACTATAAGTTTATAAATGTTTAAGGACAAAAATACGAATTTATTTTTAAAATCATTTAACAAATTTTTGACACAAATAAAAACTTTTAACAACTGCCTCTGTCGCTAACCCCTTTTATACATACACACCGTCATTTATAATTTCCGTCCTTCGTAAAAATACATTTGAAGAGACAAATAGACATTTATATATATATATTTAGACATAAACACACACATACACCACATAACATCCTCGGACTTTATTATTACTATCTATATTAGATTGGACAATGTTGTTAATAATTAAATGGCGATGTATTAATCATATCCGTGAAATCTAACGATATATTTATATATAAAATAATTTTAGATTTGAGACAAGTTTTGTACATTTAAAAAATAAATTCTCCGAGAAAGAGATTTTTTTCAAAAATGAATTCGTTTTATTATCGAAATATTTCGATGTGTTATTTATTTTCTTTTCTTTTGAATAGACACTAACCGAAAGTTCTAATTAGAAAAAAAGAGAATTTATTGAATTAGAATTATAACTAATAAATTAATTAATTTAAAAAAAAAAAAAACGAACCTAAAATAATTATATTTTCATAATCACAGTTTATTGTATTGCTACGTAACATGTGTGTGTTTGATATTATAGAAAAAAGAAAGTACACTTACACTTTAACAATGAAAGTGTATGACTATGAAACAATTCATTGAGCGAATATATATTTTCTTTTTCATCTCTTCTCCCAGCGAATCCTAGATGCAACACAGAGAGACGACAAAACGATGAGCGAAGCCATAAAACTTTATATGAATGGCATTTAATGGATAAGTTTAAATTGTATTTTTTTGCACGTGCGAATTTCTATATTATTATTACTATTATTATTACTGATAAGCGCAATTTCTATATATTAAACACTTGTGGCCTTTATCTATTATATATATATATATATATATATATAAACAAATACGTACGTTGTGATCAGTATACTGTAATAGGACATAGAGACTAGGGGGTATTTTAGCCCTTTAGTTTCACATATCTTTTCATTAAAGCCCAAATCAACGTACACGAAAAAGATTTAAAATTACGAATGAATATAAGAGAAAGTTTAATATGTTTCAATAGTAAAAAATTCTCTGTGCGTATGTGTGCGTGTATGAGAGAGAAACAGAGAGAGAGAGAGAGATTTGATTATAAGAACGAACGAATAAATGAATGAATGAATAAATAAAAGAATAAGAAAGAAAAACAAAAATCAAAAAATAAATATAAAAAAAAGATGAAAGAATAAATAATTGAATGAATATGATAATATGGCTGTCTGCTACGCCATAGAATTTTTTAAAATGATTCTTCATTTTCTTTGATTTTTCTTTTTAATTTTTATTTTATTATTATTATTATTATATATATATTTTTTTTCTATTTAAATTATTCGAAAGAAAATAAAAATAATTTGATAAAACTTTAAGAAGAGAAGTACACAACTATCTTCAAATGCTGCCAATTTTTTCTTTTTTAGTTTGTTTGCTTGTTTTTTTTTGTTTTGTATTGTTTCGATAAAATAATATCAAATGGTATTACAAAAAACATAAGAATAAATAATTATTACAGAAAGTGAGAGAAAGAGTGTGTGTGTGTGTGTGTGTGTGTGTAAGAGAAATAGAACACGAGAGCATTGTTAGATAATAATTATTATGATTAAACAGTTTGTACTTTGATAATACTTTATTATTACACGTTATTGTAATATTCAATAGGAAGATTTAAAAAACACTACAGAATGAAAAAAGAAAACAATAATATAGATATTTTTTGATTATATGTAATATTAAAATTTACAAATTAGTAACATTATATTATTATTATTATAATTATTATTATTATTAGTATTAGTATTATTATTAGTATTAGTATTATTATTATTATTATTATTATTATTAATATTTACATTTACAATTTTGTAGCATTATTATGATTAATTATTATTATTAGGTGTAGTAATAATATTATTACTATATATTATTATATATTATTATATATTATTGATTATTAATAATATTATTAAAGGAATAGTATATATATCGAATGAGAGTTTAGAACAGAGAACATTTTATAGTCGTCTGTTTGTACTCATAAGAATAATGATTAAACGTGCAGATATATCTATATATATGTAGGTATATACAAAAAAAGAAATAATAGTTAAGCATGACGCACGATAATGTCACGTTGTAAGATTTAAAGAATAGACGAATACAGTTTTTTTTTTATAATGCAATTAATTCGTCTCGATACTCTAACAATTATAATAATGTGTTTGGCTGGATATTTAGAGTTTCATATGGAGACATTCCAGAAAACAATATATTCATTAGTCCGATTTATGTTAAAGATTTTTGGTTATTTTTTCTAATCTAATCTAATCTAATCTAAAATTATTCTCTAAAATTGTGTATTTTTCTTTTATTTTATTTTTGTGTGTGCTACATTGGAAATAACATGAATATTTTATTTCTGAGAATAAACACGCTATATATCACCGTAGTTAAAAATATAATTTATATAGTTATCATAAAAATAAATTATTAACATTAAAATAATTAAAATTATATTATATACTCCCAAGAACAATATAAGACTATTAAAATCAATAAGGAATGCTTAATTATTGAGAAATAAATTATCAAAGTTTTTCGTGTACATGTTCCAATGCGTTTTCTATAAATTTATATTTATTAATACTTGAAATTGATTATTCAATTGTTCCAAAAATGCTATAAATGTAAGCGGAATACATGATAATGTAAGAGGTCAACGAAATAGATCGATAAAACAGGTTTCATGATTGTCGATATGGTATTGCAGATTTTAAAACTGGTCGTCGGTATTGTAGATTTCTGATTTAACTGTTGGTATCGTAGATGTTTGTGATGTCCGTCGGTATTATAGATATCCTATACCATCGTCATCTGTCGAATTTATTGAATGTTTCGACGATAGTTTCCTTATCGACTCTTTTTAATCGATAGAGCAATAAAAAAAAAAGAGAAAAGAACTGCGCATGTACGAAATACTTGTGCCTCTAACTGTAAGAGACGCTCCGGTGAACGTTGACAGTGTCAAGTCAGTAGTCTGATTGACGTACTTCATTGTAAGAATGTTTTATAATAGAACGAAAGAAATAAATATCTGCGAATCATTCAGTTCTGATTATTCCGACGACGATGGGAACAACTTCAGGTGAGGTAAAAGGTATTTAATTTGCGTCAAGAAAATCAAACAACACATACACAGGTGTCTATTTTACGTAATTTCTTGTTTGTGAATCTCGTTATCGAAGTAAGAATCGGAACCGGCATCGAATTGTTGCTTTCGGAGACGTCATACGATATTAGCCTTTCTTCATTGTTTACATATCTATGTAGGATGACGTTAAAAGATTAAAAAAAATGTATTTTATATTTTGTTAATTTGATTAACGATTTTAATATTTAATTTTATCTTATTATGTGTAATTTTAACTATACATCAACGATACTTGAGTCGTACTATATTATGTAA